CTTCAGATTTACTGATTTCATAGAGAAAATAACGTGCTTTGCATGATCCATGAGTGAATATCTTTACTAATGTTTTATAGGCTTTTGTGTCTCCTTGTATTATCTTGTGTATCTTATTCCTGAATGCTGAAGAGATAAATAAATATTTAATTCTGTCTGACAAACCGATTGTCATCATGACTGGTTATTTTAACAAGCACACAGTGATACCATTATGACACTGTTGTGAGGACATGATCCTGAACTTTTTAATAATTTTAACGACTTTTAAAGCCTGAATATAAACCTGTTCTGTTTTCTGTCAAGAATACAAAATCATCCAATTGAGAGACTTTCAATTTAGGTTTGAAAAGGTTCATGCTGAGCAGTTCCTCTATACTGAGCTTATAAACCACATCATGGGCTCATTCTTCATAAAACAGAAAACAATTCTAATTAAACTCATTTCACATACCATAATTATTTAAAATGGAAAGTATACCTTTTCTTAAGAAGTATGTTGTCACATTCTATCCAAAATATAATAAATAGTTAATTAAACAGCAAAGACAGTCAGTTATCATGTTAGACAATCTGCTGCTCTGTGACACGGGCTGAGCCCCCACCTCACTCTAACCCCAGGGGGACTGGGGGACATTTGCCTGCTCTATTCTGGGGGCAGCAGAACCATCCCGCTCAGTTTATGCAAATATGAGTTTCGCTCCAACGGCTGAGAGTTTAGTTTCAGGTCTTAAAACAGGCTGGACTGGGGCAGCTGTGAGGGGGAGGGACTGACCCCATTTCTGATCAGGGGACAGGAAGCGGAAATGTCAGCTACTCACTGGCTACATCAGTACTTCTTAAACTATATATAGTACATGGACAATTATTTAGTCTGAATGCATGAAATCAATTAACCTCATCCATCCATCCATCCATGCATCCATCCACCAGACTTAACATCCTGCTTGTCCTATTCAGGGTCACAGGGTCCAGAGTCTATCCTGGGTGCGAAGCAGGTAAATACCCAGGATGGGGCTAATGATCCCCATTTTAGAATAATTTTTGGAAATATACATTAAATAAAACAAGTTCTGTGACTCTCTGAACAGTGTACAATTTGGACAAAAACTCCATACATTATGATATATTTATGGTATTTAAAATATGCTCATCTACTTTCATCTCAGTTTAAAAATACTTCCTCCCTTGTAATAAAAGCCCACGATTCCTTATAATACCTTTAGTAAAGCACGAGTACAGGGGTATCAGCACCTTCCCATAACAATCCACAGTGCTGGGCATCGCCGCCTGCCAACCCCAGCTGCCCACAGCCGATGGCTAATATACCCACCCAGCTGCCCACAGCCGATGGCTAATATACTCTCCCAGCTGCCCACAGCCGATGGCTAATATACTCTCCCAGCTGCCCA